AAACGGTTATTAAACCGGAAATAGTTTTGTTTCATACAGAGAGAGGTTAAGTTAAGAAGATCATTTGTTTCCCCGGGATGTAGACGACGTTTTTCAAAGAGATCTGCGAGTATACGCAAACAGTCAGGCGATGGGACATTTGTGAAGACTATCAACGTCTAAAGATAACAATATGGATTTAGGAGGAATACGAATATCTTTAATTTTGGAAATGAGATCTAAGACATTTTTTAGGCTGTAAGTGGGGTTGAATCCAGATTTCTCTCGAAGGAGGAAGTTTAATTTTTTAGCAAGGAAATAAGCTGGTGCACCAATATATGAGACAACTGGACGAACAGGAACATGTTTTTTATGTATTTTTGTTAACCCATATAAAATGGGTGCTTGACAAAATTAAATTTAAACTTGAATTGGAACAAGATTGTTCCCTTAATTTTCTCGATTTAACAATAACAAGAAAAGAATCGTCACATGTTTTCCAAATTTATCGAAAGCCAACTCACACCGACACGGTCATCCCCGCGTCATCGTTTCATCCGTGGCAACATAAAGTAGCCGCTTTTTATTGTTACATTAACCGCTTGTTCACTGTCCCATTAAGTAAAGAAAATTATTTAAAACAACTTAATATAATTTATCAAATAGCGGTCTCTAACGGTTTTTCAAAAAATCTCATTAACAATTTAATTAAAAAGAAACAAAAGCATGTTGTTCGCAACTCTCTGTACGCGGTTCAACCTCAAAGTGTTCATCGATATGTGAGCAGTTTGACCTACTTAGGCCCCATATCTGAAAAAGTAGCTAATACTCTTCGACAAAACGGCGTTTATGTGGCGTTCAAAACAAACAATTCTCTTAGAAATATCTGTAATAATAAAGATAAGTTGGATATTCGTCAAAAGTCAGGTGTTCACAAACTTGTTTGTGACGAATGCCACGCCGTTTACGTGGGTCAGACTGGTCGCAATTTCAAGACACGTTATAAAGAGCATTTAGCCGCGTACAGGAATTGCAATCCCGATAAATCCCATTTTGCCAAACATCTTTTGGACACTGGAAACAACCTAGCCAACGACCACTCCTTTAAAGTCTTACATACGTGTAATAAAGGGCTGCGGCTGTGTGTGCTGGAACAGTTAGAGATATTAAAATGTAACAATAGTACCGTTGCATTGCTGATTGAACAAACAAATGTTACTAACTCACCTCTCTTAAATATCTTTAAGCCTGCTCTCTAATAATAGAGAGCCTCGCAATATGGTCGTTTGTCACCCTCACGGTGTCCGGCGATTGGTTGCGTGGTTGGAGGGTGGGCGTTGCGCGGCGGTTTGTTTTTAATTTTACAAACGGCTGCGTAAGTCCGGCGGTGATTGGTCGCATGTTCTATCGCATGACGCAGTCGCTCGCTCCTTAAGTAGAGAGCGGTTGCGTCAGCTGTCTGTATAAAAGGCACTTGTTTTGGCTTGCCGCTCACTTAGCGTTTAGCCACCGTAGAGTCTATATCACCTGAGGATGCCTCGTGTAGAGGCGAAACACGTGTCGTATTATCGTCAGTGGTGTGTCTTGCCTAGTGTAGTGGTGTTGGGTGTAGCGGTGCTGGGATTAGTGGTGACGGGGATAGTGCACGCAATTGAGGGAGGGCGGGAGGTGCTCTTCATACTAGGTAAGATACATCATTTTATTTTATAACGCGGATATTTGTGAAGTAAATTTTTCTAAAAGCTTTTATATAATGGATTTCCGCAAAGTAACGCCTGATTCTATTAATAGACTGTTTTAAACAAAAATAGACGCTTAAATATTTTTGTTCGGATATAATATATTAACTTGCTAGATAAAAATATATATTAGAGACACTAATGTATTGGCTAAGATCTAATTAATTGTTAATATTTTTTACGACGGTGCACGGATAGTACATGCAACTGAGGGGGGGGGGGGGGGATGTGCTCTTCGAACTAGGTAAGAACGCATCAGTTTTATTTTTTACGCGAATCTTAGCCAATTATTTTTTAACTCTTAATACTATATTAGTGTCTCTAATATAGTATTAAAATTGTTAAAAATTACGTTTCATTGTACCCACTAATGAGGGCTAATAATCTTCAGCTCACCTGATGTTTTACTTTTTAATTTTTTTCACATTTTAACTTTTTCCCTATGAAATTTGGCAAATATTACACCTCTATTTTAAGTGGCGCCGCCCTGGTGGCAGAAAGTCGCGGATGCCCTTATTACTATTGTGGGCGCCTAAGCAAACATTGTCTCAGGTAAGAAGTTATTTATCACTATCTTCAGGTTCACATTACCATCGGTGCACTAACTTTCATTATCGTTTTCACTAATATTTTTTTATTTATTATAAGCCAGTGCTTGACTACAATCCCACCTGGTGGTAAAGGTGATGCAGCCTTAAATGGTAAATCGCACTGTCTTAGCGTAACAAAAGTCTATTCACTCTTGCCTTGAAGATTGTATTCGAATGGAAAGATAAACGCCGGCAAATTATTCCACTCCTTTGCTGTACGTATTACAAAAGACGAAGCAAACCCATTGGTTCTAATACGTGGAATATCGATCGAGAGGTAAAGACCCGCCGACCGTCTGGTTCTCCGATGGTGGAAAAGAGAGGGAGGAATTAAAGCGTGTAATTTCTGCGTACAGTCACTAAAATGCATCCTACAGAATACCGAGAGTCTGACTATTCTGCGCCGGTGCTCGAGGCTGACAAGATTGGTTTCAACCAAATCAAGGTCACCAATGAGCCTCTTAGCACGTCTCTCCACTGAGTCCAACGCTGCCAGGTAGCATTTTGCAGCACCAGCCCATATGTGACACCAGTAGTCCATGCACGGACTGTGTGCCCATCCACATCAGGTACCCTAGTCGCTTATTGTACCAGCTGGCGACAAGGCAAAATTCCTCGCCTATCTGCCAGCGTCGTCGGTATTCTGGTATGGGTACAGCCAGTCCTGATGACAGGCATTAAAGTCCCACAGAAAAACCAACTATGCATTAGGGTTGCTCCAATGGGTACTCAGGGTAGCCAAGGTACGCCGCATGTAGAGGACATCTGATATGCGTCTCAGTCATGAAGAGTAACTGCGGCTTGTCAGTCTCAAGATGGTAGAGGACTGCATTGAGATTACAGTGCAGGCCTCGGATACTTGTGAGGTCTATTACGTGGTAGAGCCATGCTGCAGCTATATTAGTAGTATAGTTGTAGCACGAATGGGTCGGCTCAACCGGGGAAGGACCACGCTCTCACAGAATACCAGCGTAAAATGCAGCTTAACACTGCTGTGTTACGTATGGTGAGTGTAGAGAACCGAAGACCCTTTTTACTGGAAAAGAGGCATTCCATCTTAGTCCTCACGGGTGACAACGCATCTGCATTTTGCTTCGCAAACGAGGATAGATGTAGATGTCTATGGGCCGCAGCAACCACTTACCATCAGGTGCACTGTGTGCTCCTTTAGTCACCTTGTCCTATAAAAAAAAATCGACGAACTAGGATTTAGAGTAAACTGATTAGTAAGCTGAAGTGGCAATGGGCCGGCCATATAGCTCGAAGAACCGACAAACGATGGGGAAAAAAGGTTCTCGAATGGCGGCCTCGTCCCGGCGGACGAAGTGTAGGGTGTCCCCCCACTAGATGGAGTGACGACCTGGTAAGATAGAAGTAAGAAGTAGATGAATGCAGGTGGCTCAGGACCGTGCTTTGTGACATTCCTTGGGGGAGGCCTATGTTCAGCAGTGGACTTGTGAAGGGCTGTAATGATGATGATGAACAAAACAAATTTAAACTGCCATTTACATTCCATGGCTTCCCACATGATAGATGAAGAGTTTTAAAAATAGATTGAGTAGAACAATTAATATTTTCAAAAGTTTATTGTGTTTACGAAGCCACGAGGACTTGATAAATCGACACCATAAGCCACTAAACCCCATTTTTATGTAAAAATAGCAATTAATCGATTTAAAAAATATATAAATAAGTTCAAAAATCATTTATCTTTCTGACAATTTTCTTTATCTTTTTATATCATTTATATGTATAATATAATTGCTAGATACGATTTCATGTGACAAAACGTTGGAATCTTAATTTTGAGGCCCTAGCAGAACATACATACGCGCTTTGCGCTTACGGCATGCAATATAATAATAGGTGGTAGGGCGTCCATCTGGGTAGGTAGCATCCTCTTACCAATTTCTGCCACCAAATATCAGTTAGTGATCGGACTGATGTTTGGCGACGATAAAGGGTAAAGAGAGCCAGTATAATGTACAGATTGTGAGGCATTCCATCTCAGTCCTCAGAAGTGAAAATGCGTCTCTATTATTTGCTTGAAGTTGGCTACAGGTGTCTATAGACTGCAGTAGCCACTTAACATTAGTGAACTGTAAGTTTATATGTCACTTGTTTATGAAAAAACAACTAACTCATTAAGCCAATTGTTACCGCCACTTCTCAAATTAAAATATTCCGCGTTTTGGTCAATCTTATTGACGAATCAGATTTCATCTATAATACCTTTCATTCATTCCTTCTTGAGACCGGGTAGAAAAAGAAGTCTAAGTAAAACCACGCCCGCACGCGAAAGCATATTGTGTGGCGCTCGCTATATCTATTTAGTAATTAAACGCTTAAAATCACGGCCGTGAATTGTATAAAATAAGTGTAAATCGCGCAAGAAAACTAGGAGTGTACCACGCGAGTGTCAAACTGAAGTACGAAGAGAAGCTGACGGCATTCTCCAGTGCGTACCTTCAGTTTTATGTGTAGGTTGCAAATTTAATGAAATCCAATTCCAACTACCTTTACAGTCCACTTTATTCCAATTTTGAACCACGCGTCATCACCAATTATGATATTACTAGATGCCTTTGAAATTATTGATTTCATTTAGAGCGAGAGGTTCGAATAAGAGGGAACTCAATTGAATGAAATGTTAGGATCCTATTCCTAGTAGTATATAATTTTAAGTACTTACCAACTTGATACGTATGTCTCGCGTAAACATTTATCTCTGTGGCTTCGCCATCTTGAGAGTTATCTCCCATGGCGGTGACGAGACCGAAGTCGCCCACCTTCACCTTGCCGTCTGGCGCGAAGAATATATTGCTCGGCTTCAGGTCGCGATGGATGAGGCCCGCCAGGTGGACATATTCCACCGCTGACACTATCTGACTGAACAGCGTGTTTGCCTGCAGGAGGACAAGTATAATCAATCACTCACCGTTATACAGTATGGCGACGGTGTTAGAGAATTCATCACCACACTAACTCCATATAAGTCTTTTAAATAGAAAGGAACATTAACCATCAGTTTTCAGCCTCGTCACGTGGGTTAGAATCCCGAGTCGGTTCAAAATCAGTTAATGGGTTTTTCTGTCCAGAAATTGTCAGTAGCAACCCTGAGTCAGGAAGTAGTACTTCCGTGTCTCGGATAGCACGTAAAGTCGCGGGTCCTGCATTTGTTCTTCGATCGTAGCGGATAACCGTCTCATCGGACTATGAGAGTGTACGAGTACTTGTGTTTGCGCATACACTCAGCCACTATAATCCTGTCCTGCGTAGATGTCTAGTCTCCGATGAGACCGACCACCGATACCAAAATTCACTCTGACGGACATTATAACAATCTCGTATAAACCATATCCTCCTTACAACGGGAGAGGAACATGTCTTTCATATTATAAAAAAAAAAAATGTTTATCACTTTAAAAATCCCATTTAGTGGCGGGTAAGAATACCCACTGCCCCATATCTTCCCGAGAGTGTCGTAAAAGGCGACAGAGGGAAACTGATGCAGAAGATGGGCAGCAGCATCTTGCTGATAACAAAAAGCAATAAAAAAAACTGCGATTGCCAACCCGCTCGCCAAGCGTGGATACTATGGCAAAATACCCCCCATGAGCAATGACACTAATAAACGGTCCCCCAGTGGCCACGCTATTTCAGAGGGTGCTAAGAATCCGTTCCTCCGGTGGAGGTTCGGTTGCCACCTACGACGACTCGAACTGGCAACTTATAACGCACGCAACCTGAGGACTGACGAGAAAACCCTGGAGCTGGAAGAAGAGATAGACAAGTTACACTTGCATATGCAAGTGTAATTTGTCTATCCTTTAATATTATAGGATTATCCGAGGTCTGAAGGGAGGGGGAGGACACGATAATCCTCGAATCCGGCAACTTGTTCTATCACCGGGAGGGCGACCATCTGTCCCAAGGAGTTTTCGGATTTATCGTCTACAAGTCTCTCGTTAACAACGCTGTAACGATTGGGAGTGTGCCGACGAGGATTGCGTACCTTATACTCAGAATCACCAAACGGTATTCACTGAAGGTCATACAGGTTTAAGCACCAACCTCGGCACATCCCAATGAGGAGGTGGAGGAAATGTATGAGGATATCTCTAGAGCCACTCATTCCTCCAAAACCCACTATACGGTGTTAATGGGAGATTTCATACGCGAAACTAGGCGCAAGAGCAGAAAGTAGAGAAATACGGAATAGGGCAACGGAACCCAAGGGGTCAGTAACTGTCCGAATTTATCGGGAAAGGGGGACTCTTTATGATTAAACTCTTTCTTCCAGAAGCGGCACCGCAGGAAGTGGACCTGGTCGAGCCCCGACGGTTCGACAAAAAATGAGATTGACTTCATTATGACGACTAGACACGGTAACTATTCAGTGATGTCTCAGTGATCGCGAGGGTGAAAAATGGTAGCAATCACCGTATGGTTAGAGGCTGACCTAACGTTAAGTTGCAGAGGTGTCGTCTAATGAAGTCAACGCCCCGTTCCCCACGTGCTCTAATCCAAAGTCCTTTCCTTTGCAAAAATCCAAAAAGCTTTCAGCTCGAGTTACAAAACCGTTTCCAGTGCCTAGAAGATTGCAATGCGGTGGACGATATATATGACAAGCTCGTGGAAACTGTCCATGCGGTCGGAGCTAAGTTTTGCAAGACCCACCGCAGAAGAACACAAAAACTCTCCGATCACACTCTTAATCTCATGGCTGTTAGACGGAAATGAAGCTGCAGTCTTCAGTAGATTTGATAGCATACAAACAACTGAAGAGACAGATCTCCAAATGCATGCAGTGGGACTTACGCAACTTTAATACTGCTCGTATTGAAGAAGCGATCGAGTGGAAACAGGGCTCTAAAGTCTTTACCAGAGATCTGTCTGCCAGAAAGAGCCAACTGTCGAAACTGAAGACCGAATGTGGCAGCATCGTTTCCGGGACACCTGAGATTTTGAGTGAGATTGAGAGGTTCTATGGGCAGCTGTACACGTCATCGTTGGAGACACACGCAAGTGTGAGTAACGATCCAAGAGCACATCTTATCCGACACTATTCCAATGAAATCCCGGACGTCAGTTTGAGCTTAAAAACCTCCAACACCTTAAAAACGGCAAGTCCCCGGGCGAGGATGGAATTACAGCGGAGCTTCTGAAAGCGTGTGGAAAACGGTACTTAAAGTCCTTCAGAAGCTCTTGAATTCCGTCCGTGCGGTGGTCTTGTTCTTCAAGAAAGGTGACAACGCTCTCTTGAAGAACTACAGATTATACAATTTCCCTTCTGAGCCGCGTCTACGTGCTGTTTTCGAGTCATTACGAATCGTCTCACATGCAAACTCGACGACTTCCAGCCTCCCGAACAAGCTGGTTTCCGAAAAGGCTTTAGCACCATAGACCACCTACATACCCTTCGGCAAATTGTACCGAAGAGTACAATCTGCCACTTTGTCTTGCGTATGGGGACTATGAGAAAGCCTTTGATTCCGTTGAAATTTGGGCGGTGCTGCAGTCCCTCCTGCGGTGCCAAGAGGACTGTCGGTATATCGAAGTGCTGAAGTGTTTGTACAGCAAAGCTACGATGGCTATCCGAGTACAGAATCAGAGTACGAAACCTATCCAACTGCAGAGAACTGTAAGGCAGGGTGACGTAATATCTCCGAAACTCTTCACCGCTGTATTGGAAGACGTTTTCAAGCTACTGAACTACAAAGGATACGGTATTAACGTCAATGGCGAGTACATCACTCACTCAGGGGTTCGATACGCAGGTGGAGTTGGAGGGCGAGGAGGAGGGCGCGCCATGTGTTCTGGTCAGCGCAGTTGGGGCCGCAGATGTGTGCGAAAGCGTTCCCGTGGCCCTGCCAATATGCGACGAAGGTGGAACACCGTGGGTTTTTAGTCGGTGCGAGTCCGACATAACCCGTCCTTGCCCCCGCGAGGCGGGTATGCGTAGGCATTTCCCCATGTAAAAAAAAAGGTAAGTCCAGCTTCGACCAAGAGGTCAATCGACGGATTCAACTTAGCTAGGCAGCGTACGGGAAATTACGACACATCTTCAAAACTAGATTGTACAACCAGTGTGTGTTGCCAGTGGATGATGATCTATGGATCTGAGACGTGGTCCTTCACTGCTGGCCGTATAAGGAAACTCAAAGTCGCTCAGCGAGCTATGTAGAGGGCTATATTCGGCATTCCTCTGCGTGATAGACTTAAAAACGAGGGTATCCGCAGTAGAACCAGAGAAACCCACATAGCCCAAAGAATTAGTATGCTGAAGTGGCAATGGGCCGGCCATATAGGTCGAAGAACCGACAACCGATGGGGAAGAAAGGTTCTCGAGTGGCAGCCTCGTACCGGTAAGCGAAGTGTAGGGCGACCCCCACTAGATGGAGTGACGAACTGGTAAGACATGCAGGAAGTCGATGGATTCAGGTGGCTCAGGACCGTCCTTTGTGGCATTTCTTGGGGGAGGCCTATGTTCAGCAGTGGACTTGTGAAGGGATGTAATGAATGAGTGAATGAATGAAAAACTTTAAAAAAGAATTTAATCGCCAAATGTTTTTCCTGGCGAATCAATAAGTTTTTTTTTAATCTCGATTTATATAAAGTATTTTAAAAATCCATTCGATTAATTCAAGCATAATATACTTCTTCAAGTAGTATCAATTTCTCAGTGTCAAAATCGTGTCTAAAATACGATGTTTTGTCCAACAGCTATTGTGGACCATGGACACGGTCAACTAACTTGCAACCGGAATACAGATGTTATACCTGTAATAGCTGGTAATAAATGTTCCCGATATCCTTCAAACTGGGACACAACAGTGGATGTACTGTTCGTACTTTGCAACAGGTAACGTAAGAGTGGGAAAGATACCTACTTACCTAATATAATTAAAAATTGCAATAATTTCATTAATACGCACATTCTGGCGCCTCGCGTCCCAGGTCCTATTGTGGCGTAACCAGTCGTGTAGACTGTCGCGGCGACACAGCTGCATCTGGATGTACAGGTACATCTTGCTACCGCCCACACTGCCCTCTTCGCTTCTCACGCACAGGTCCAAGGACCAGTGACGAGTGTGACCCTTCTGAAACACAATAGGGTATTACACCCATTTTCAAAAAGTGTTTTAAATGAATCCTAGAGTGATAAAGAACCACTATAATTTTTATATATACTTTTTAAAACCGAATAGTAACATAAAAATTACTTTTAATCTATCATTTTAAATTTTCGCGTGAAAACGCTAGCCGCCATACTGTTCAACTCGTGACGTCACTGTCGTAGAATTTTGAAAATTTTTCAAAGGAATAAGACACTTTTGAATGTTTAATAATGAGTTATCATTTATATAATTGTTGTGTTGTGCCTGATTGCAAAAATACGAGCATAAGAACGCCGGGGAATTTATGGATTAAAGTGCCATCTGATTTAAATATGAGAAATACTTGGTTAAAACTGGCAAGAAGAGACCTGAAGGCATTGTCTACAAAATCTAAGCTATACTTTTGTGAAGATCACTTTGATGTAAGTATGACTTATATTTAACTATCGATTAAACAAAACAAAATATCATGACATGATAGGTACCTATTGCAAGTCAAATTTTGCAATAGATTAGGTTAATCGCTCGTCTGTCCCGCCCTTTGTGGGCCATTTTGATAGCCCTTGCAAGTGCAGTGCAGTGTTTTACGTAATTCCTGTTTTCTTCTATTATATGGGAATAAAGACATGGTTTGTACTCAGACCAAATAAAAAAGTGACTTTTTATTTCGTCTGAGGGTTTGCACAAAAAATATAACAAAAAGTTTTTCTCACCTAAGCTTATATAATATCTATAACATTAGTGCTAAAAGCGAAGTAATAAACTCGCTTTTACGAATCCGTCTTCCATGATGCTTTTTCAATAAAATTCGGAATAAAAGTCAACAATCGTAATGATAACTTGAAAAATTTCGAAATTAGCTAGTTAGTACACAGCACATAACCTAGTTCTTTGACCTAGTGACGTCACGACGCTATCTAATATGGCGGAAATCGTTTGGCAGATTTGAGGCACAGGTAAAAAAAATATTCTTTAAATTGAAACATAAAATTTATAATGCATTTTTATAAATAGAAATCAATATTTCTCGTTTACTTTTTACAAAATCTATCATAAATATATATTCCTTGATTTTTTTTTACATGGTGTAAAATACCCTATTTTAGTAATCATCCACCACTTTACTAAGTACCCTCACTTTTCCAGTAATATTTCCTTTAAGTTTTTTATAAATTTGAAGCTAAGAAATCAATAAAGAAAGCTTTACCGTTACAGCCTATTAAAGTCCACTGCTGAATTTAAGCCTCCTTCATAGATTGCCTCATAAGTGGGATATTTGCTATAGTTGCCGCGCTAGGCAAGCGGATTGGCAACCGCAGTTTATTTTTATTTTTAGTCGTTATTAAGTACACGCTGCTATCCATCCCCTGCTTTTTTTCTCTCTGTCACCTCTTACGACACCCATGTATAATAATTATTATGTATTAAATATATTGATTTCTTATATTTACGCGAAGACTACACATGAAAAAAGGGGAGTCCCCCCCCCGTGACCACGTGGAATTAAAAAGTTAAATTAAACGCGATAAAATCCGTAAAAATTTGTTTCATTTAAATATATTGTTAATAATTACTTGTATAATATATTGTTTTATTGTATGGAATAGTACATATTCTTACACCGCCACTACACGGTACTGTAAGCTAGTGATATTTTAAAAGGCAATTATATGTTCTAGAAAAGTGACAACCCTAAAGTGTTAGAATATTTTTACAAATATGTAACAAATAACACCTTACCTTTTTCCTGCTATTTTTGGAACTTTCAGTCTTTACATATCCATCACACTCTTTAACTTTGTCTAATATCTTGTTAGATATGTCCTGTCTAGCTTCGGACAATCCCGAATCTTTGTCCAAATTTTCGAATACAATAAATGAGTCATCATCATCAGTGGCTTTGTTTTTGGACAGAGTGTGTTGCATATTTTCGTTGGTGATTCTATTGCATATTTTCGTTGGTGATTTCGAGTTTGCGAATATAATTGATGAGCCTCCATTGTCCAAACTTTGCAAATCTTTGGATAGGACATTTGGCGGTAGGTCGCAGCTGTTTGTGGCCTTTTGTTTCTTTGATAATTCTGAGTGTTTCGAAGCGTTCTCATCGAAGATTATGCTGAATGAGTCGTTACAACTGAGGGACCTACAAATGACATTTTTTATTAAAATTTACATAGATAATCTAGAAATCAAATATTATTTAAAAATATTGTGCATAAATAATGTACAGCTAATGCAAAGTTACAGAAGAGAAAAATCAAGAGGCAGCAGTATTCTTAATTACACACAGAAAATTAAAAACTTTAGTTGCCAACCCGCCTGGCGAGCGTGGCAACTATGGACTTTAATGAATGCTATGCGAATTACTTTTATGAAACCATTAAATTTTTTTTTCAATCAAATAGAATATTACTTAATTATTTCCATATAGGAAAAACGCTAAATATTACTAGAATGTTGCCAGTACAGAAGTAAAAATACATTCGATACCATCGGCGACAATGCCAATACCACAACGATGGATGAAAAAAGAAACATCTCATCAAAAATTAGTTATTGAAAATCATAGTAGTAATCAATTTTTTCAATACAAACTTTATTTTTCGGGATTTTTTTTAATAAAAAGTTTCTGGTTTTTTTTTTTTTGTAGTGTGCTGTTGAAGTCTGTTTGAACAGTTGCCGTCTATTTGAATAATGTAACAAAAACGCGTTTTTTAAAATTAAATATCTTCAGAAAGTTACTGATATATCGGTCGGAGATACCGATATACCTTATAAAAATAGTTGGAAGAAATCAAAGAAAAGCTTTCGCAACAATTAACCTTCGTAAGATTTATTTTTATTTTACCGATGTTTAACTGTTAACAATTTTTTTATTCAGTAGTTTAACCTTTATTAATAAATTACTACATTATATAATTTTTACGTTGTTAGTCATGATGCAGCTGCAATGCGGTTGTAGCAACAATGGGTTGACTAGACCAGGGTAGGACCACGCTCTCACAGAGTACCAGCTTTTTGCATAGCATATGTTTGTAAGTGTGTGAGTTTGGTGAAATTAATATTGTTTTTTGTCAAGATACCTCTGTTCTTATCCCTACAAAAAGGCAGCGACCAATGTATAGCCATTTTTTTAAATAGTTTCTGTAACAGGCTTTTAAAGAAGTTTTTGAAAGGTAAATTACTTCCGGAATTTCATCTTTCAATAGCAGCTCAATGCTGCTGTGTTTCGTATGATGAGTGTAGAGAACCGGAGACCCTTTTTACTGGAAAAGAGGCATTCCATGTCAGTCCTTGGGGGTGACAACGCATCTGTATTTTGATTCTAATTGAAGATAAATGTAGATGTATATGGGCCACAGCATCCATTTACCACCAGGTAGAATGTGTACCAGTTTGTCACCCTCATCATATTAAAAAAAACTACTTTTAGAAGGTGCTTAGGCTTAATCTAAAACATCACAAACGCCGTCGGGGGGGGGGGCCGTGTGCCGCTTCCCGGTATTCGGCCGCGTGGGCCGGCGACAGTGTCCGCCGCGGCCTTGTCGACTAGTATTGTCTGCGACCGTTGAGTTGGTTGCGCGCGTTTTGTTTGCTTGTCAGCCGTTTTAGAATAATTATCCATAGGCCATTGAGCCCGAACTCTCTGGTTGCTCGTCGAGTGTACTACTGATGGGCCCTAATACAGTCAACTTCTGTCTGGGCAACTGAGAGCCGTAACTATTTCTGGTAGCAGAGCGTGGTTAATTGTTTCTCCAATCACGTCCGGCCGTAATAAATATTTTTTGTGTTTTGTTAGCGGATCGGTGGGTGGAATTAGGAACCACGCCCGTTAGGTTGCGCAAGCGGGAGTGTAGTTTAGGGTTAGGTACCCACGCGTCAGGTATTTCGGGTAGGTAGATAATTATCGTATAATTATAGTAGATTAATTGCCGAAGGGTCGGTCGCCAGAACGAGGCATCTTTGCTGACCGACTGTAGTGTGTATGACTTGTATTTGTAGTGTAATTTGTATTTAATTTAATAAATAGTAATTTGTATTTGCATTGAATTTAATTTGATAGTAATTTGTATTTAGTAGTGATGCCATCGCACAAGCTACCGGCGCTTCGCCTGCAGGCGGAGCTGCGCTGGGCCGCGAACGCCCATACCTTGATAGGTCGACCCGATCGGGTCCATAGTTTAGGGAAGCGGCTCGAGCAGGTCGTGGCCTGAAGGGCCGTAGTGGAGGAGGCTTACACTGAGCTAGTGGCCTCGGATGCGGAACAGGGAGTCCTAGACTCCTGCCTCGCGGACTACGAGTATTTTTTTTCGCTCACGGACGACTTGATCGAGGCGGGGGCTAAGTATGATAATGAAGCGCGTGAAGCTCGGCTGAGTGGCCTGCTCAAGTCCCCTCGGAAGCAGCCCACTCAGCCGGAGCTGTTGGGACGACTCCCAACGCTGGACCTGGCAAGGTTCTCCGGGGTCCTCTCCGACTGGATGACCTTTTTGATAGCCTCGTGGACGCCCGGAGAGACTTGACACCAAGCCAGAAGATGGCGTACCTCCTAGCCTCACTGGAGGGGGAGGCCCTGGGCGTCGTCGGCCATTTGAGATTGTCGGACGACGCCTACCAGACTGCCCGGGACCTCCTTGCTGGAAGATACGCCAAGGTCCGGCGAATTGCGGACGAATACGTTAGGCAGCTTCTAAGCCTCCCGCTGCTTAGGGACCGGGCCAGACTACGTCCGGACATCGTGAATCCAGTCTTGGTGGCCTGTAATGCGTTGAGGCGGCTGGATTTACCAGTGGATGAATGGTCCTTCTTGTTGCTCCACATCGTGCTGTCCCGCCTGCCTCTCGACCTTCGGATACATTTTGAGGAGAGGTACGGCGGGGACGGCGCCTCCTATATTCCGCCCTTCAGTGATCTGCTGCGGTTCTTGGAGGAGCAGTGCCAGTAAATTGAGAACGCGGCGCGCACCGTCGACGACTTATGGGTTGCCGACCGAGCCGTGCCCAGTGAGAGGCGGAATCCACCGGGCAAGTCGCCGCTAACCCCCCTAAGGCCGATCGGAGCTCCCGCGGGAGGCCGCCGCTGCCTACCATCTTACAGTGGCCTAGCGGCCAGGGAGGCGCATCCGGTCACAGGGTGTCGTCGTGCCCGAAGTTATTGGGTAAGCCGGTTCCGGCGAGGCGAACTAATGCCAAGGAGCGCCGCTGGTGCTACTCGTGTTTGGAAAGGCACCTCCAGCGAGACTGCCTGCACCAGCGGCCCTGTACGCACTGCCAGGGCAATCACAATGCCGTTTTGTGCCTGGGTGCGAACAGCGTCTCCTCTCGGGGCTCTGCCGGGCCCTCGACCCCCACGGGCGGGGGCGCTCAGCCACGCCCTCTGTCGGGCGACGCTTGGCGCTCGCCTGCCGGCCACCGTGCCCCTGGGTTTGAAGGGGGGCCCTCCCTCGGCCAGTCGGGGGGTCGTTCCCCCAGGGGCGTAGGGGTTGTCGCCCCCCCCCCCCTCGGCGTGTGGAGAGGAACTTCACAGCCACTCAGCAGTCAGCTAGACACTTCTCACCCCCGTTAGCTGAGTGGCCGCGACTGGGGTACCACCGTCCCCCCTTTGATGGAGGCAGCCCCAGCTAGGTAGCTGTCGCCCTAGCTCCCACCACGGCCGCCTCCACTGATCCTTTGAGCCGTCAACAGCCCACTTGTCAAAATGTTCTATTGCCGACGGCCTCAGTGAAGGTGTACAACCCGAGTGGCGACTGTTTAACGGTTCGCGCTCTATTGGATTCGGGTTCACAACACTGTGTGGCCTCCACTTGGTTTGTGGGAAGACTAGGGCTCCCCTGGAGATCCGAATGCTTGGAAAAAAAATGCCTTGGTTTTTCCGCGAAATGTTTCGCAGTTGTAGCGGTTGTGAGTGAAAAAGTGAATTTGATATACTCTTTGAATACGAGTACATATGTTTTTATAAATATATTTAATTATTATGTTTGCTTTGTTGAAAAGAAAATTTAAATTGAGTAACACTATTTGTGCCGAAGGAAATAAAAATCAATCCTCTCTTTGTTTTCACATTTTTGTTAGAGTTGTCGAAGATATTTATTTGGAAAGAGGAATAGGGCTGTCTCTTATGTTTATTGTTTTACTTAATTCGTCTGTTTTGATCTATGCGCATCGGGAAATTAATTTGTTGCAATTTATTTTCAAGTTTTACAGTGCTTTTGAGTATTGATGCTTTGAGGCTTGGTTCAAGCATAAGCATAGAACTGCATGTTTGGAAAAGCTAGCTAGTTATGATATTATCAGATTGAAATCAGTAAATGGTTATATGGTAATGGCTTGATTATGCCTACTTGCGTGAACAAAATCATACTAAGGCCTATCTGTGCGTTTTCGTGTGCCTCGCCACTAAGGCCGTTCACTTGGAAACTTGTAAGTGCCCTCAGCACTGAAGCCTTTGTGGCCATGCTGAGCCGCTTCGTATCGCGTCGCGGTTTGCCGGACCTGGTCCGGTCTGATTGCGGAACGAATTGTGGGGGCACGGATAGATATTTGAAAAATATCGTCGGGTTTCTGTCCAGCAACAGGACTTGTTTCGGTGCTGCGATGTCCAGGCATCCAGTGGAGGTTCAACCCTCCGGCTTGCCCGCACTGGGGCGGTAGTTTTGAGGCGGTGGTTAAGGTTGCAAGATCTGATGGGGTGCCTAGGGTGGCCGAAGTTTTGGTTGGAGATTCGGTCTTGCAACGTGCCGTCGCGACCTTATCCCTTTTGCCAATTTGCTCGCGGATATAAGTCCTGATGTCCGGTACGGGGGTTTGTTTAGGCCTAATCTAAAACATTCAAAAACGCTTGCCTCGGCGCGTCATCCGATGGTATTGAGATGACGTAAACGCCGCCGGGGGGGGGGGGGGGGCGTGTGCCGCTTCCCGGCATTCGGCCGCGTGGGCCGGCGACAGTGTCTCGACCGCCGCGGCCTTGTCGACTAGTATTGTCTGCGACCACTGAGTTGGTTGCGCGCGGCCGGTGTTGATTTAGACGGTCTAAACTTTGAGTTTAGTTGGGCGCGGCTGGTGTCCAGAATTGTGCGCGTGGTTTTGAATTTACTAATGAATATTTGGGTCTCGTTAAGACCGCCTCGAATGGAGTTGTCTGTTTTGAGCGTTACGTGACAGCGAGGCCTATCTTGAGTTTTGGATGATTAAATTAACTGATTGCCATTAATTTGCGCCGACGAGTTGTCGTTTGTGTGGCCTTTAATATCGTACGAAGGAATTTTGCTTTGTCGGGAGAACACTAACCCTTTGTGACTCGAAAGGAGATCGCGTGTGCTCGATTATAATTTGTTGCTATGTGAACATGGAACGTTGAACTTTGATCGACCGTTCTTTAGTTGTGCCGTGTGACACTTGTTTGATTTCAATTAACGTGGATTTAGTTAAATTTGAAGTTAATTAAATGTACAATAAAATTGATAAACTAATATAATGAAATAATAGCAGAAGTTTTCAATTGGTGAACGCCCACTGGAGGGATGGCACATTTGGAGAAAAGCAGCGCCTGTGGATCTGTTGTCCGACTACATCGGGGATGTCAGGTTATATTTATACACACTTTCGCACACTACTTACATACACCTCACTTACCACCTGACTGGTCCCCTGTGGTCAACCCTACCTCCGGAACTCGATAAGTTTTGTTTGCTTGTCAGCCGTTTTAGAATAATTATCCATAGGCCATTGGGCCCGTACTCTGATTGCTTGTCGAGTGTATTACTGATGGGCTCTAATACAGTCGACTTCTGTCTGGGCAACTGAGAGCCGTAACAGAAGGTTTTGTCTCAAATATACATATTTTAATTTTCATATGCAATATGCAGCTAACCTTTTAGTAGCTGTCGATTTTAAATTATGTAATTAGTGAAATGTATCCATGCTGTTGGTGTTTCGAATAAAATAAATAAACAAGTTAGAATTTGTATTGGTATTCGTAAAAAATATTTTTGACAGCCCATAAAAATTATTTCAGTTGACATAAGCGTACACAACACAGTATTTAAGGAAATAAATGATTGTTTAGCCTGGTATTTAGAGAACTACTACCGCGGTCCTGGGTTAAAATCCCTGCCAAAACGATTAAATAGTGAAAACATAAACAGCGCAAAAAAAAAGTGTCACATTCAATGTATGGTTGCTCTCAGACTTAGCTGTTAGTGCCCGAATAATAATTGTAATTACCTAAGTCTTCTAGGTTCTCTCAGTTGCTTTTCGTAGTCCAAAGCGTCGATGCAATCGTCAACGGGTTTGTGCAGATCCAACATCACGCTATCTCCCTTAGGGGGCGACTTGTTCGTGATGGGCGTCTGGGAGGTGTAGTCGTTACTTTTGACCATCGACATGCCTTCCAATTCCCTAAAAATAAAAGTAATGTTATGCTGTAATGGCGTCGCATGAAATGACGACCTGGTAAGGGATACAGTTGGCTCAGAATCGTGCTTGTGGTGTTCCTTGGGATGGTCTATACTCAGCTATGACCAACTACGGAAATAGGTCTCTCTAGTAGTGCGTGAGAGACGATGATGGATGATGGATAAAGGGTGATTTAAGAAAATTATTATAATAGAAATATTTTTAAAATTTCAAAGAATAGTTTTAAATAAATAATAATTTTGGAGATTATTGATAAAGAATGTCTTTTTCTTTGAAGTTTTTAAAATAATCATTTATTTTTGATTTACAAGACCAATGTTTTAATTTTAAACACAATTAGTCTCTACCTAGAGAAGAACGCAAACTTGATACTAAAAAAGGAAACGTGTTTATGAGTGTACACAACAAGCGCCACTTTGGGCGCCCATATAAAACTTTTAATACAAAACCATATAAAAATTCGAGTAATTTTGGCTCAAGCCTCAGAAGCCTATTGGGTGAATTCCCATACATTTGAGAAATTACACCAAAATTACTCAAATTTACTTTAGTTTTATTTTATAAAATAAAACTAAAAATAGGTACATAATTTTATTTCTTAGAAGTGATTATTTTATACACTATACAATTATTAATGATGTTTTTATTGATTTTGCAGATTTCCACACATATATTGATATATAATATACGTTATTGTGAGAGTTATTCTTCACAGAACATTATCGTAAATTTAAATCAGCAAAATTCGTAGAGTGAAAACTTAACTCAGCCCAAATACATGATCTGAAACAGGTAAAATTCGAGTTAATATAGTAATAATTACTACAAATAACGATCAATAAATTCAAAATGCTTTTAAAGACTTACCCCAATATGGTCAAAAGTTTTTTTCTATAGTAGGAAACGTGCGGAAAGTGATCAGATGATTTTGTGCTTTTGTTTGCACAACACTTAACTTACTTTCGATACTGATCACAGTTAATATTTCGTAGAGTCAACATCTCACAAAAATCTTTACATACACAATCGCGAAGAAATGCCTAAAAACGAAAACTAAGTATTCTAAACCGACAATAACTGCGATATTAAGCAAAACGCAATAATAAATGTTAAAATCTAAGCCTATGAAATAATTTGAGAATTTTTTTTCAACATGAAAGAAGTTGACAAACAAATGTAATTTTTTTCTTCTTTTAATTCATGGCTTCTCTTAATAGGTCATTAAATTGTGCAAACCTCATAGTACTATATCCGTAGTAAGGTGCAAAACAAAAAAAAAACTATAGCACAGAATTAACATTTTCAATTTGTTCCAATATAATAATTATGTATCTAATTTTTAAAACGGCAATCTGAAGCAACGCAAAATAAAAAAACCGCGATATCTTTTCTCGGTTTATTTTTATACACCTAACCCACATATAAACAAAATTATGATTGTGTGCAAATTTCTCGGATTTCATACAAAGTTTGATCATCCTGACTGTATTATGTATTCATCCCATGGGTGTTACATAGGCTGCACTAAAAGTATCGGGACTGGAATATTTCCACTGTTCCTGTCATATTAAAATCTTTTTAATTGAAAAGTCCTTGGTTTTTTAAAATTGAATACCATTTATTTATTTAAAAAAAGATTCTCGGTCTTGTCACAAGGTTTTGTCAAACTTGTTTAGTCGTTGAGAAAATGGAATTGACTCGAGAAAATTCAAGAGCGATGATTTAGTATGACGTTCGAAGTGGTTTAACACAAAAACAGGGTGTTTTCTGCATTTGGTGATGAAGCCCCATCCAAAACCACAATTTATCGCTGGTTTGCTGAATTTCAACGTGGACTTGTCAAGCTCAGTGATGATCCCCGTCAAGGTCGTCCAAAAACTGCAGTCACCCAAGAAAACGTTGATGCTGTGCGTAAGCTGATTGAGGAAGATCGACATGTGACATACCGCGAAATTCAGGCAACTTTAGACATTGGCATGAGTCAAATACAAATAATCTTGCATGAACAATTAGGTGTAAAAAAGTTGTTTTCCCGATGGATACCGCATTCGCTCTGTGAAGAGCAAAAAGCGGTTCGCGCTACTTGGTGCGTCAGAACTCTCGAAAGATTCCACGCAGGATCCTCAAATGCTGTATACAACATCGTATCAGGTGACGAATCCTGGATATACGCGTACGAACCCGAAACAAAAAACCAGTCACGAGTTTGGGTGTTCGAAAATGAGTTAAAGCCAACGAAAATTGTTCGTTCACGGAGTGTTGCAAAAAAAATGGTGGCCACGTTTGTCTCCAAAACCGGCCATGTTACGACTATTCCTCTTGAGGGGCAAAGAACGGTTAATGCAGAATGGTATGCCAGCATTTGTTTGCCACAGGTCGTTTCTGAACTCCATAAAGAGAACTGCAACCGCCGCATCATCCTCCATCACGACAATGCGAGTTCTCCACACCGCACACAGAACAAAAGAGTTTTTAGAGCAAGAAATCATCATCATTACAGCCCTTCACAAGTCCACTGCTGAACATAGGCCTCCCCCAAAGAATGCCACAAAGCACGGCCCCGAGCCACCTGCATCCATCGACTTCCTGCATATCTTACCAGGTCGTCACTCCATCTAGTGGGGGACGCCCTACACTTCGCCTGCCGGTACGAGGCTGCCACTCGAGAACCTTTCTTCCCCATCGGTTGTCGGTTCTTCGAGCTATATGGCCGGCCCATTGCCACTTCAGCTTACTAAATCCGTTGGGCTATGTCGGTCACTCTGGTTCTACTGCGGATATCCTCATTTCTGAGTTTATCACGCAGAGAAACTCCCAGCATAGCCCTCTCCATAGCTCGCTGAGCGACCTTGAGCTTCCTCATCCGGCCAGCAGTGAAGGACCACGTCTCAGTTCCGTATGTCATCACTGGCAACACGCACTGGGTGTACAGTCTCGTTTTCAAGTTTTGAGGTATACGTGACGAGAAGATGTGCCGTAATTTCCTGAACGCTGCCCAACCGAGTTGAATCCGTCGATTGACCTCTCGGTCGAAGTTGGACTTACCTAGTCGGACTATTTGCCCCAGGTAAACATACTCGTCAACAACTTCGAGCTTAGTGTTCCCAACAACTACCGGCATAGGTGTGACATGGATATTAAACATGATCTTTGTTTTGTCCATGTTCATCTTAAGACCTATGCGTTGGGAAACACTATTGAGGTCATTGAGCATAGTGCTTAGGTCCTCCAGCGATTCTGCCATAAGGACTATATCGTCGGCAAATCGAAGGTGAGTGATGTATTCGCCATTGATGTTGATACCGTATCCTTTCCAGTCCAGAAGCTTGAAAACATCTTTCAATGCAGCGGTAAAGAGTTTCGGGGATATGACGTCACCCTGTCTTACACCTCTTTGCAATTGGATAGGTTTCGTACTTTGGTTCTGTACTCGGATAGCCATCGTAGCTCTACTGTACAAGCACTTCAACAGTTCGATATACCGACAGTCAACTTGGCATCGTTGAAGGGACTGCAGCACCGCTCAAATTTCGACGGAATCAAAGGCTTTCTCATAGTCCACATACGCCAGACATAGTGGCAAATTGTACTCCTCGGACTTCTGTACAATTTGCCGAAGGGTATGTATGTGGTCTATGGTGCTAAAGCCTTTTCGGAAACCGGCTTGTTCGGGAGGCTGGAAGTCGTCAAGTCTGCGCGCGAGACGATTCGTAATGACTCTCGAAAACAGCACGTAGACGCGACTCAGAAGGGAAATCGGTCTGTAGTTCTTCAAGAGAGCGTTGTCGCCTTTCTTGAAGAACAAGACCACTGCACTTCTGCTCCACGCCTCCGGTGTAATGCCACCATGGAGGACGGAATTAAAGAGCTTCTGAAGGACTTCAAGTACCGGTTTTCCACCCGCTTTCAGAGCCTCCGCTGTAATTCCATCCTCGCCCGGGGACTTGCCGTTTTTAAGGTGCTGGAGAGCCATTCTAATCTCACTCAGACTGACGTCCGGAGTATCTTCGGAATAGTGTCGGATAAGACTCGCTCTTGGATCGTTACTCACACTTGCGTGTGGCTCCAACGATGACGTGTACAGCTGCCCATAGAACCTCTCAATCTCACTCAAAATCTCAGGTGCCCCGGAAACGATGCTGCCATATTCGGTCTTCAGCCTTGACAGTTGGCTCTTTCTGGCAGACAGATCTCTGGCAAAGTCTTTGGAGCCTTGGTTCCGCTCGATCACTTCTTCAATACGAGCTGTATTGAAGTTGCGTAAGTCTGCGATATCCTCATACATTTCCTCCACCTCCTCATCGGGGTGTGCCGAGGTTGGTGCGTAAACCTGTATGACCTTCAGCTAATTCTGAGTATAAGGTACGCAACCCTCGTCGACACACTCAATCTTTACAACGTTGTTAACGAGAGACTTGTGGACGACAAATCCGACACCTCCTTGGGACAATGGTCGCCCTCCCGGTAATAGAGCAAGTTGCCGGATTCGAGGATTACCGTGTCCTCCCCCTCTCTTCGGACTTCGGATAATCCTATAATATGCCAGCGTAACTTGTCCATCTCTTCTTCCAGCTCCACAATCTTCTCGTCTGTCCTCAGGGTGCGTGCGTTGTATGTTGCCAGGTCGAGTCGTCGTAGGTGGCAATCGAACCTCCACCGGAGATTCTTAGCACCGCCTGCCCCGCCGTTACCATGGTCGCCACCGTAGCCAGGAATAGAGCAAGAAAACATAGAATTATTAGGCCATCCGCCGTACAGCCCCGACCTAAGCCTTAATGATTTCTATAATTTCCTTATAATAAAGAATAAATTGCGTGGACAGAGATTTTCATCACCTGAAGAAGCTGTGGACGCCTACAAAACGGCCATTTTGGAGACCCAACTTCCGAATGGAATGGTTGCTTCAATTATTGGTTCCATCGTATGGAAAGATGTGTCAAACTTCGCGGAGAATACTTCGAAAAGCAATAAATACATTTTTAAATAGTAATGTTGTGTCACTTCCTTGATTCCCGAAATTTTCAGTGCCGCCCTCGTATAAGAGACATCAGAGAGGAACTTAAACAGAAGATGGTCGGCATGCTGCTGACAGAGACAGAGATGAAGTGAACACCAGACTTGAGACAATTACAAAGTTTTGAAGTTGTAGTTTCTGAAGGTTGTTGGTTGCGCGTTCATATCACGTCGGTGTCACCAATTTGGCCGTGGAAGGAAAGGGAGAGATCTCCCGTCGGGCAAGGCCCGGAGAGCGGCCAATGCTCCGAGTGGTAATTTGGAGCTATTCTATATATACTGCTTTTACTTCGGAACTTTGATAGCGCGATTTAGACTTCGATGTATTTTCACTTACGGCGCGACGACAACGCCGCGACAATCTAAACCTATATTTTGGGCTCAACATGGTCCGAGTAGCTTACTGCTCTTTGGACTCTGTCTACCCTCTCCGGGATCAAAGGCGTGAAGCCATGTATGTATGTATGTAACAACAACCTTTTAATCTCGACATGGCCTTTTAAAAGTCTGCACCAGCTCCATAACATACTTGGAAGATTAGCCAATACTCATCATGATGACTAGTGAATGTATACCTGATACCATGCTCTTTCCCATCAGTAGAATACCTATAATTGTAGCGCTCATGATAATCAATAACAAGGGATATACCGCATCAAGATGGCGTCGCGTTGCTCCTGCCAATTAGGCGGGGGTTCCTCGAGCCAGGCGTTGAAGTACCGCACGATGTTTTCGTGCTCTAGCTTCGCAAGGGCACGAACTTCCCGGAGTACCCGTTCTCGTTTTGACTGCCTAAAAGAAAAAAGGTAAAGTAAGAGCCTATATAAAATTGTCGCCCTGGGCAAAGAATCAGCTATTAAAACGTCGGCAAGCAGTCAACATCAAAGGAGGGCAACGTCTGTACGTAGTACTATTATTTATTATGTGACAGAACTCTGATTCTGATTGACTTGAGAGGGTGGTAGAACAGTCAGTCCGCCGCACTGCGCCTATGCATGTTGGCGAAATTCAAAAAGATCTATTTCATTTCTCACGAGGTTTCTTTTCGTTCCTTTCAAACCAATTGTAATCTTCAGATACCATCAGGTGCACTGCATGCACATTCTTCACCATTATTCTAACTATAAATACTAGAAAAAGGATCTAAATTGTTTTTATGTATATCTTCTAATGTAAGTGGATGCTGTGGCCCGTAGACACCTACATCTATCTTTGATTAACTTACGTGGCCAAGAAATTATTAAACTTAAGTGGCCAAGTTGGACAAATTATCGTATTTTATAATAATATTTGTAAGTTGACGCGAAGAATTTATGAATCTTGAAATAGTGAATGCTCGGAAAAAAATATGCGCATACATAAAATACTCAATTAAATTCTTAATTGAATTGATTTTTTAAATATATTAATCGAGTTAATAAATATTACAATTTAATTGCCGAAATAAACTGACGTTGGAGTTCTCGTTTTTTTTAAACAATAACTATATAATATTTTACGGTAATATGAAAGGCATGTTATTGAATTATAATGTCATCGGCTGCATTTTTATTTATATTCTTTATTTACTGATAATTTTTTTTTTATGGGATATGGGTGACAAACGAGCACACAGTCCACCTGATGGTAAGTGGTTGCTGCGGCCCATAGACATCTACATATATCCTCGTTTGCGAATCAAAATGCAGATGCGTTGCCACCCGTGAGGACTAAGATGGAATGCCTCATTTCCAGTGAAAAGGGCCTCCGGCCACCTGCACTCACCAAGCGAAACGCAGAGGTAAACCTCTACTTCACGCTGGTATTCTGTGAGGTCGTGGTACCACCCCGGTTCGAGCCGGCCCATCCGTGCGACAGCAAAAGCTGCCGCGTGGCTCTACCACTGTTAAAAAGCAAAAATGTTTCAAATGAAGTAACTTTTATCCACCGAATGTCGCATACATACTTCGTTCGGGACAAATACGCAAAAAGAGAGGAAATCCTCGCCTTAAACACTTACCTTCTAGGTAGAGTAATTCTTTTTACTGCATAGGAACAATGATCGATGTTATTCCTCGCCTCAAACACTACTCCGAAGCCTCCTTGTCCCAAACACCTCAGCGGAGTGAAATCGTTCTCGTATCTTCCAGAATATTCCGTGCTGTTATTATTAGAGGGCGGCCTTTCGTAATGCCTCTCCACCACAATGTACTCTTGGTTCATTGGTAGCGGGGTGGGCGGTCGGATTTTCGGAGCAAAGAACCTTGGCCAGATCATCAGATTCATCAGCAGGGCCGAACTTATCGCTATGAGCAGCACCTCCTTCCACCAGAACCAAAGCGAGTACACGTGCACGTGGACATGGTGGTGATCAAATTGATCATCACTGCTGTTCGGTGGCACAATCTCGGGCCCGTCGAGCGATTTCTCAGACACTTGTACCGCTTGGTCGCATGTCTCTTGTAAGTAGAGGAAGAAACCGTGGTTGCCTGGAAACAATGGATGCCTTCTCATCTTCTACACATGCATATAAAATCGACATATACATAGTAGCGACAGTAGCCGAATAGTTACGAAACTAAAAGGTTATTTGTTCGAATTCGCCATTCGACTACTGTCATGAACAACTAACAAAAACATTTTAAGCTTACTTGGGATTGGTTACTACTGTACTATTGTTTACTGGCGAGTGTTTAAAGTTGATAGAGGTAAAATTTATCTGTTATTTTGGGTTTTAATTTCTTTGCGCGGAGCCCTAATTCTTTTACAAAAATAAAAGTAGTCTAAGTTACTCCTTGTGACATCAGATATCTGCCAGTGAAAATCCCGTCAAAATCGATCCAGCCGTTTCGGAGATTAGCCGGAACAAACAGACAGACAAAAACTTTAAAAATTGTTTTTTTTTAAATTTTTTTTATAGGATAAGGGTGACAAACGAGCACACAGTCCACCTGATGGTAAGTGTTTGCTGCGGCCCATAGACATCTACACCTATCCTCTATTACAAATCAAAATGCAGATGCGTTGTCACCCATGAGGACTAAAATGGAATGCCTCATTTCCAGTAAAAAGGGTCTCCGGTTCTCTACACTCACCATACGAAACACAGCAGCGTTAAGCTGCTATTTTACGCTGGTTTTCCGCGAGAGCGTGGTTCTTCCCCGGTCGAGCCGACCCATTCGTGCTACAGCTATATTACTAATATAGCTGCAGCATGGCTCTACCACGTAAAAAATTATGCAGCATGGCTCTACCACGTTATTACTGCCGTATATACTTTCATATGTATTTAGTAAAAAGCTGTAATTTTGACATTACAAACAGACACTTCAACTATATTTATTTGTAAAGATGTAAATGATGCTGTATCTCAAGTATTACTCTGGTTTACCACAAATATCTTGCTCCTGTATACCAAGACAACGAAATACATTAAGTTTTCTTTACCAAATGTAAGGCATTTACTACTCATTAACTACTCACTCATTAAGTTCTTCTTCTTCTTCTTTTGTGGCGGTTTGGTAAAATTCGCCAATGACGTATATTTTGAATGGAAAATGAAAGTTGACGAGTTTAATTAAAGTAAGAGTCTGTGATAATACAAGGATTTAGTTTTTTTCCTAGAATTTTGACAAATCTATCTGTTGAATTACCTATAACAAATGACAAAAAACAGGTGGTAGAATCGTATTAGTATGTTAAAAGTGACAAATATTTAAAGTTTTATGTTATTAGTATTAATAAAGTCACATAAAATATACACAAAAGAAGTATTTGTGTATGTTAAAAGAGAATTAAAATCTATAGGACGAGGTATATTAGGATGAAGGTAATAAATAATAGATGGAGGAGAATAGTTTGGGACAGTTGAAAAAAAATATATTTGTGGAACCTTCACCTAAGCCACATTCACACAATGAGCTATCCCTCTGGTTATTGACATGTGTACAGGCCTGTCCAATTCTCGATCTACATATAATTGAAGTTGCATGTTTATTTGGTTTGTTAAATTTAAAAAAAGGCTTGGGAGGAATAACCTCTTGGATGGCGGCATAGTGCTTACCCTTAACATTTTTGGATACTTTCCACAATTTATTCCAATTTTCATTCAGTTTCCTTTTAGCTAGTAAAATTAGTTCATGTGAGTAAATTAAATTTTGCAGAATGCCATTAGCAATTGCATTTATAGCAAGTACATAGGGGGGAATAGGAGGAGTGATAAATAATACGGAAATGGTCACTGCCATGGCTAGAAGGTAATATTTGCCACAAAAGGAGGGAAGCAAGTTCTGTGGAACAGAGGATTTACATTTTGTAATGGAGATGGATACTCGACGAGTAGAATGCCCGTCATTAAGAATACAGAGATCAAAATCATCAACAAGGTCTAACAATAACGGAGCCAGAGAATCACAAAAGTGCAATACCCAAACAGTATGATCTATAATACCCAAACAATATGATCATATTAAACTCTCCTAAAATAACAGAGACAGAGAAGAAATAAGTGTTGCAAGTTCTGTTAAAACATTTACATCAGGATTAGGAATGTAAACAGAAATAATTGAAATGTCAAAGGCCTTGATAGCAACAGCGTTAATTGCTGGACTATGAGAAGGGAGAGAAATTTGCGAAAATATAACTGTTCTTGAAATGAAAATAGAGGTACCAGCGCGACTGTCACTCCTATCATCCCGGAGGCATGCGTAGCCTGAAACCCTAAAATAAGACTCAGGACTAAGTCACATCTCCTGGATGGCAACAATGAAGTAAAATAGTATTCAGTTAAACGATCAAATACGTGAATTTGTAGATTCGACAGTTTTCCTTGATATCACTATTGAATCACGCCTACAACGAAACCTCATACTGAAGCCTTGTCAACATGAGGTCTCCATTGTAGGCTGGATTCGCAATATTGAAGCATATTAATGTGACATAGTTTTGCTATTAACGCAGTTTAAAAAAAATAAGGCTGATGAAGATGTAAATGGATGTAAAAAAGGGTTATATCCTATGAATTTTGTAACATGCGTAATAAATTTAAATTTGCTGTACCAAGGGGAAGGCTTCATAAAACCCGCGATTCATTTTTAGGTAGATGTATAATGCAATTCAAATAAGAATAGGAAAGTCAATAGCATCGAACTGTCCACTGTCACTTAAAAATTAAGGCTTGCAAAGAAAATTAATTTTCCACTTTTATAACTACAGTGATTATGATGATGACGATGATGACTACTCAGACAGTGATGCAGAGATGAACAAAAATGAAGTGCTAGATTTCGATTAAAACTTTTTTCTTTCACGGTTCTTTTGTATTTATTTGTAAATAAACATTATTTCAAAAATATCTGTTTTGTTCACCCTACCTAACCGGCTTGATATTTTTTTGAATTGACAGCTATGATGTCACAATATGGCACCAGGTCAGTGCTATTCTTAATTGATTCGCCTAGTATAACTATTTATAACAAGATTCCCGGTGATTGCCTGTAGCATTCTTATGAAGGATATTACTATAAATTAGATGATTATTTAAAATACGAGAATGCATGGACATAGTGAGCTTTTTTACTTATATATATATATATAATATATTATAAAGATAATTTGTAACAGTCGGGTTTTTGGGCGGGGAATTATACATTAGACTACTTCTGAGATCCTTCTTAGAAGGCCTACACTGTAGGGACTTATTGAAATGATGTAAAGTCCAATGTTGGTTTTAAAAGATGCCATTGATTTGACTTTGGTAAGTAATGTTAATAGTGTTAATTAATTTTTTGTGTATTTCGTTTGATATCCGTATAATATAGCTATAGACAAAGTGAAACTTTTCTGAAAATTGAACTGATCCATAAATATATTTTCACGCTTGTTAGATTTTAATTTCAGTTGAAGTTTATAATGAACACCTAAATAAAAGGCCTAACAGTGAATATCTCGAATTATTTCGCTCACCTGTCTGTCCTGGATTTCTGTAAAGTGTAACGAGTGATAGGGTGTTGGGATCAACATCTTGTAATGCCAGGGCCGTGTTACTCTCGCTAATCAGAGGCATCGAGTGCTTCAGCTTCCATGGGACTGGCTTTGTTGCCACCGACGTTTCTAGTTTCTGTGTGTAGATGATGCTTTCCTGGATATATAACTGCAAAAGAAACACATAAAATAAATGAATGGTCTAATTAGCTACACAATTTTTCGTGTATCTAATTTTCAGTTCTGAAACTATGAAGTCTACATATCTAAGCTATGTAAGTATAGTTTATCTAATTAAAATCAATTACAAAATATGTACCATATTATATTGCATTGTCATCAAGTACTTAAGCTAAGTTTCAAGCTCATCGGTAAGTTAGTTTAAATTGATTCCAAAATTTGCACCGAAGATACAAACAGAGAAGCATGTTAAAAAAAATGTGATAAAAACAAAAATCTGTAGTTTAACCAAAGTTAAAACAGCTGGATAAATAAATGTCGCGTGCAATAAACTGACGCAGATGACTGAACCGACCTATTTATTTTGCACAAATATTGGTAACATTTGGGATTCAAATCATGGACTCGTGACTCAGCTTTTAAATACGTTGATCACTAAGTGACGCTATTGTAATGGTGGAAAATTAAAATTAATGAAGTCATTAGGATATACACATAGAATTACTAGAAAAAATTATCATCATTCCCATCTCCACTGCAGTGTTTAACAACATTAGCCATAGTTGTCATGTTTGGCAGGTGGTTTGGCAATCAATATTTTTAAATATATTAGAAAAAACTTAATATGCGCAGAATCGGTTGCAATAAATGGTTAATTTTTATGTTCCCTCTGGGTGCCACACTTTTATCTATTTTAGCAGTTACCTCCAATCCCATCCCATTAAGTGCTCATCTTTTACATGCATATTCTGGCAAATAAACTTTGTTTCTCATGTTTAAACTTAACGGATGAGATCAGTCATTTAATAAAAGATACTTTAGAACATTCATTTGTATGTATGGATTTGTCTACTAACCTGTCGATCGTGCACTCCGACGTATAAAGAGGGAGGTGAAGGTTCGACACCGGCCAGCGCCTGCGCAGCTTCCCACAACACGTCCATGTGCTGTAGTGACCCTCCTTGTAATCTCCACATGCCTGCTACAGGAGCCTCAAGCTGAAAAATGTTCTCCGTATTTATTATTTTAAATAATTTCGTTTCTCTAATTAATTAAAATATACAGGATGTCATTGCTTGTTGCACTATTTTGGAAGCCAATGAGCATCAACGAAATCGTAGGTACCTTTTTTAACACCACAGTATCTTAAACTTGGATGAGAAAATTGCAACTTTATTTTTTTCTAACGAAACTGTTTACTTTGTTGGGGAAACTGCAATAAACCTGCAGTTACACATCTAGTCGGAAATAATATTCAATAAATTCGCTATTTCAAAGGAATGGCATAAATTATACGTATTAAGGTAATAAATTTTCGATAAAATCATGAAAATAAAAAAATCTTGAAAACTGTTGTTACAACCAAAAAAAATTTTACAAAACTGCTGTTGTATTAAAATTTTTTTGGCTGTTCTCATAGGTTACGATCTCATCTCTCGTCACATTTCGTTTAGACTACTATTTACAGGACAGCCTGTATATAGTTACATTTTGATTTTGATTACGACAATTTTGATAAAGTACGACAAATCGTAATTAATCCGCAACTACGTTATGTTTTTTCATTATGATATTTTGTAATTCATAAGACAATAACCAATATACTTTAATGTCCAATAACAAACAAAAACAAAGTATTGAAATATATGAAGAAGGATTCTCACGTGGTAGAGCCATGCTGCAGCCATATTAGTGGTATAGTTGTAGCACGAATCGGTCGGCTGAGCCGGGGAAGGACCACGCTCTCACAGAATACCAGCCTAAAATAGCAGTTGAACGCCGCTGTTTCGCATGGTGAGTGTAGAGAAACGGAAACCTATTTTACTCGAAACAAGGCATCCATCTTAGTCCTCACGTGTGACATCGCATCTGCATCAAAATGATTGGTAATCGAGGATAGTTAGTACCATCAGGTAGACTGTGTGCTCGTTTGTCACCCTTGTCCTATAAAAAAGGAACAATAGGCGATATGTAATATATATATATATATATATAGCAGGTCTTCAAGGTTTTCTCTAAAAGACAAACTTTACGAGGACGGCACTGAAAATTTCGGGAATCAAGGAAGTGACACAACATTACTATTTAAAAATGTATTTATTGCTTTTCGAAGTATTCTCCGCGAAATTTGACACATTTTTCCATACGACGGTACCAATCATTGAAGCAACCTTTCCATCCGGAAGTTGGGGTCTCCAAAATGGCCGTTTTGTAGGCGTCCACAGCTTCTTCAGATGATGAAAATATCTGTCCACGCAATTTATTCTTTATTTTAGGGAAAGTATAGAAATCATTAGGGCTTAGGTCGGGGCTGTACGGCGGATGGTCTAATAATTCTATGTTTTCTTGCTCTAAAAACTCTTTTGTTCTGGGTGCGGTGTGAGAACTCGCATTGTCGTGATGGAGGATGATGCGGCTGTTGCAGTTCTCTTTACGGAGTTCAGAAACAATCTGTGGCAAACAAATGCTAGCATACCATTCTGCATTAACCGTTCTTTGTCCCTCAAGAGGAATAGTCGTAACATGGCCGGTTTTGGAGACAAACGTGGCCACCATTTTTTTTTTTTGCAACACTCCGTGAACGAACAACTTTTGTTGGCTTTAACTCATTTTCGAACACCCAAACTCGTGACTGGTTTTTTGTTTCGGGTTCGTACGCGTATATCCAGGATTCGTCACCTGATACGATGTTGTATACAGCATTTGAGGATCCTGAGTGGAATCTTTCGAGAGTTCTGACGCACCAAGTAACGCGAGCCGCTTTTTGCTCTTCACAGAGAGAATGCGGTATCCATCGGGAAAACAACTTTTTTACACCTAATTGTTCATGCAAGATTATTTGTATTTGACTCATGCCAATGTCTAAAGTTGCCTGAATTCCGCGGTATGTCACATGTCGATCTTCCTCAATCAGCTTACGCACAGCATCAACGTTTTCTTGGGTGACTGCAGTTTTTGGACGAACTTGACGGGGATCATCACTGAGCTCGACACGTCCACGTTGAAATTCAGCAAACCAGCGATAAATTGTAGTTTTGGATGGGGCTTCATCACCAAATGCAGAAATCATCCGGTCAACACACTGTTTTTGTGTTAAACCACTACGAAAGTCATAATAAATCATCGAAGCGTAGAAGTAGCAATCGCTATACTCGGACATTATACTTTATTTTACTAGGTCATATCATTGCCTCTAAATCCACACAATTCAACACAATGTTCAAAAATAACATCTGTCATTGAATATAGTGTCGTTTACACACACTGACGTGGGTGAATTCTAGGTCCCTACATTTACGAAAATTGAATACTAGATGGCGTGAATGAAAAAAAATGTTTTCCTTTTTTCTGTATGGGTAGGCAGAACTACAGAACGCCACCTGCTAGGATATATTATATTATGTACGATTCATCATCTGCCTAGCCTTTTTCCCAACTATATTGAGGTCGGCTCCCAGTCAAACCGGATTCAACTGAATACCAGCATTTTACGATTATGTTATAAAAATAAAAGTTATATTTGTAAAATGAGCCGTTGTAACTCAGATAGTTAGCACTTGCTGTAAGTTTCAAGGTACGCGAGAAACCCGGGTTCGATCCCCGCCGGCACCAATGAAATTGTTAATTGCAATTTTAAGTGCTGATTTACCACGTGCTCGGCGGTGAAGGAAAACATCGTGAGGAAACCTGCATGTCTGACAAATAAGAAAAAAATATATTTCGAAGAGATGTGAAGTTCGCCAACACGCATTGGGGCAGCGCGGCGGAACTTTCCTTGCCCTAAAACCCTCTCAGAAATGAGAGGAGGCCTGTGCCCAGCAGTGGGACGTGTATTCAGGCAGTAAATTTTTTAACTTATATTTGTAGGCGTAAATAAACTATTTAATTCAATAATAATCTTGGAAAATAAACTATGTCAACACTAAGAACAATAAAACGCAGTTTTGTTTTATAACCTTACACTATTGAAATTAATGATCAAAACAAGTATTTGATGCATTTATTTTTATACAAAATTTGTATTTATTTTACACAGATAATTATTATGTAATACACAACTTTAAATTAATCTCAAAAAGACAAAAAGTGATCGTTGCGACTGGGGGCTGAACCCTGGTTTCTAGAACATTATCTTAAAAATTTTCCTAAATTTGTTAAGAAAATAACAAAAGTAATTCAACCGGTGGACCGCACTCGGAATCTTACCTACAACCCTTCTACACCCCAACCTAATCCCACTACCCCTACCCCCCTTTATCTCCCAACCCTACAACCCTACTCCCACCCTAACAGCCCTATCAGCCCTATCAATCCTGGACGGGGGCCTACCGTGGTGAGCCGTCCAGAGATGGAGTCGTGCAGGAATGGAATGGAGGAAAGGTTTAGGAACTGTCCCGCCAAGGAGTATGGCGAAACAGTTGAGCTAGTGCAAGCGCAGTCTCGCTCGAGAGAACTGCTCCACCCGAAGGTGTTGTGCCAGAGCCCGACCGATTTGGCACGGTTAGGGGGTCGGGATGTATGCGGTCGGGATGTATGTATTATTGTCTTAAAAATTCCCTTCATGAATTTACGAAGAAAAATATTGCTAAGAAAACAATAAAAAGTAGTTCGACCGGGGAATCGAACCCCGGACCTTAGGATTCGAAATTTCTTTAAAATTTTACTAAACGTTTTCGTATAGTATAATTATTGCATGATAATTTATCTTTAGAAGCTATTCGTAATTGGTAAACTAATAAATTGAGATATTATTTATAGACGCGTCGCCAACAGTATGCGATAATTACCAGGAAGGTGAAAAAATATTTCCTAATTTCAAAGCACACACAACTACAAAAGCTTTTAGTAAAACATAAATCATTTGACTTGTTGGTTATTTTTTTATTATATTAGTTTTAGGGAAAGAAAAGAAAATGTCCGCCGCGGTGCAATTAACAAATTCATCGGTGCCGGCTGGGCTCGAACTCGGGCACTCGGGCATTAATTTCTATTCTATTTTTATAAAGTTTAATATTTATAATTATTTTATTGATAAACATTTTAAATAAATAATTATTAATCTAATCACCATAATAAAACAAAATTAATATTAAATACATAACCATTATTTTCATCTGATATCCAAGGACAAATCAAGTAAAAAAGTCCAAGACCCACAACAACAAACAAAAGATATGACGCGACCTTGAGCTAGGTACTACAACAAAATAAAACAAACTAATAATAACGTGTGTCTGTCTGAAACTGTTTGCAAAATGCGCAATTGATATATTTTTTTTATAGGATAAGGGTGACAAACGAGCACACAGTCCACCTGATGGTAAGTGGTTGCTGCGGCCCATAGACATCTACATCTATCCTCTGTTACAAATCAAAATGTAGATGCGTTGTCACCCGTGAGGACTAAGATGGAATGCCTCATTTCCAGTAAAAAGGGCCTCCGGCCACCTGCACTCACCAAGCGAAACGCAGAGGTAAACCTCTACTTCACGCTGGTATTCTGTGAGGTCGTGGTACCACCCCGGTTCGAGCCGGCCCATCCGTGCGACAGCAAAAGCTGCCGCGTGGCTCTACCACTGTATGTATTTTATCTATATTTTGCAAATGTTTGTAAAATTAACTTTGTGACTACTTTGGTGGCTTACCTATTTATAATTTTATTTATTCTTGACCAAAAACATGTTTAAACAAATTAAAATACGTAACAATGCCTTTGTAGTTTTGTACTCAGCACCGACACATATGACGTAGGTAATTAATTAGTATTGAGACGAGATTTGAAATCGAATGCAAACTTACTGTTTTTAATACCACCGAAAATAAAATAGCGTATTTTGAATTATTAGTTACTATACCTACAATAAATTAAAATATATTCTATTATATTGGAATCAAATACGTAATAGAAATAATGCAAATTGAATTAATGAAAGTCAAACAAAAATATATAACACACAAGAAATTCCGGGCGCAAATCCTATCGCATGACAATCTCGAA